AGCCCACGTCAAATCAAGAAGGTGTTATTAACATGATTCAGATACTGACAGTTCATGCGCTAAAGAATGTACAGGTACGGCTCGTACTGTCATTTTTTGTTGAGTTTTTGCTCAGGTCGTGGTAGGCGTGTTCGTGAAATACCTGTTACCTGGGCACGAGCCCTGTAAAATAATAATAATTGTCGTGCATGAATAACTAATGTGAAATATTAATATTTTTTTTATTAATTGGTTTTGGATCAGCTTTTGGAATGAACGATTTTGTTATGCAGGATTTATAGTTAGACCAAACATTTTCAGCGTAGATCGGGGAAGTGAGCAACTCATTGAAAGCAGGGATTATAAAATACGATTCTGCTTGGGCTGCTACAATCCTGCTTTATCCTGCTTCAAATCCCAACTCAGCCACACCTACCAATTTTGAGGTATAGTTACTTTTATTTTGGTAGCTAACTTCCCAGTTGGTAACACATGAGAAGCAGGATCGCCAAAACTGGTTCTTGCTTGCTCTGCTATACCCCTGTTGCATCCTGCTCTAAATTTCATCCCAGCAACACTTGCTGTTTTTAAGATACAGCAAAGAATGGGGAATGATTTAAGATTTTATAATGTTTTTCGTCCATATGTGATTCAATTTTTAATCCCAAAATTAAATTCAATAACCTTGGATTAAATCAACAGTTCCTGCTAAGCAACAAATTGATCTTAAGGTCTGCAATAAATTATGTTGATTTATTTAAAACGAACAAATTTTACTTTCCGTACCGCGTAATCGAAAAACGATTATTTTAAAGCGCGTTCTATCAGTTGTTAGGTCGTTTATCATGCGATATTGAAACGTCAGTACTACCAACGTTTGTACGTACCCGATTGTTCTTGGTTTATGGATGTTTTTCGTTGTATTGAAGGCGTTCGGAAGGTAGTAAGGATAAATTGGTTTCGCTTATGAGTAATTTGAATTGTTGAACAGCAGGTGTTGGCGATGGAAATAGCTTATAAATGGATTGTTCTATGGTGGTGATATGAGTACCTATATATTGTCTTTTTCTTGCTTCTTTCATATATTTTCTATGTGGTACCACATGAATACCTTAAAGAGTTACACTATCGGACAAAAGTAGAAAAACTTTTTAAAACTCGTCGTACTCCATAAACCTCCAATATTTAAAATAATGGTTGTTTTAAACATATTTCCTTTTAGCAACACCATCATTTTTCGCCACATTCCAAATTTATCTTATCAGAAGTTTATTTATAATATGGACAGAAATATTTTTGAAGGGACATAAATAAAGAAACCAACATAAAAATTGACCACACTTAGTAGTTTGCTTAAGGTGATTTACATCCTTACACTTAAGGTCTATTTAAGTGCTTGTTGCAGGTATATTTTGAATAGTATAGGAGATAGGCAACATCCCTGCTTGAGGCCTTTTGTAATTTTTATGCTTTCTGACAATGAGTCTCGTATTTTTATTCTAGCTGTGGTGTTCTGGTATAAGTTCTTAACTGTTTTAAGTAGGTTGACATTTATATTAGTTATTTCCAACGTTTTCCACAATTTATTTAATGTTATGCTGTCATAAGCCTTTTGGAGGTCTATATATAGTAAGTGTACCTCTTGATCTTTTGCCATTTTTTTCTCTAAGACCTGTGTTATGGTAAACAGATGATCGACAGTAGACCTTCCCGCTCTAAAACCCGCCTGTTCTTGTATTTCTATCTCTTTATATTCATTTTCTATTTTATTCTTTAGTATCTTTCCATATAATTCTACTTAATGTACTTGTCACTGCCAAACCTCTATAGTTTGCACAGTCTTCTCGATTTCCTTTTTTAAAAATCATCGTGATATATGAGGTTTTAAAATATTTTGGTACTTCTGCGCCATCTATGCACATTTGGAAGAGTTTTGTTATATTTCGATACAGATTTTCCGTCCCATATTTTATTAATTCTCCTGGTATATTTCCCGGGCCTGCGGATTTACCATTTTTTAAATTTTTACATGTCTCCCTTACTTCTTTAGTTGTTATTCTGAGGGGAGATGCGGCTACTGTTATCCTTTCTTGTGTTTCTTTACCTGTCTCAAAATATGTTCTGTTCTCGGTGAGTAATGTTTTAAAATACTGAATAGATTCCCATTTGTCCATTGTTACTGTCGATATTATGTCCTTATTTTGATTTTTTTCTTAATTGTTTTATCATTTTCCAGCTTTTAGTACTTTTTCTTCCACCCAAATAAGTATTGATTTTCATACATTTGCGTTCCCAAGCTTCATTTTACTTCCGTGTTATTTTGCGTCTGGCTATTGCTTGTTTTGTTTTATATTCTACTTTATCATTGTCACTATTTGTATTTAAAAATTGTTGATATTTTTGTCTTTTTTCAGTTATAATACTTTCTATATCTGCATCCCACCAATATGCTTTTTTACTTTTAGTATATTCATAAGGTCCCAAGGCGTCCAGCGCAGCTGAGTGTATACTGTTTTTAATGTGTTCGTGATATATTTCGGGGTCTTCGAATCTTGTATTTATTAATTTCTCATCTAGGCGTTTTCTGTATAGTTCTTTTGTACTCTCATTGTCAAAGCTATCTATGTTATATCTCTTTTGTTGTTCTTTGTTGCTTTTTTGTTGTTCTTTGTCTTCCATATTTACATCGGTTCTTCTCGGTTTGTGTACTATTGTAGCTTTGAGGAGTAGATTATGATCACTACCACACGTGGCTCCTCTATACACTCTTACATCTTTTAGTTTTAGTTTGGAGTCTTTTCTAATGATATTATAGTCAATTATAGATCTTAATCCCCTTGTATTTTGTATCCATGTGTATTTGTGTATATCTCGATGTTGGTAGAATCCATTCATTATTTTTAAGTCATTCTGTTCGCATAAGGTTATTAGTCGATTTCTCTCCGTTGTCATTTTTTGTATCTTCTCCATAGGGTCCTACAACTTGGCTATCTGTACTTGTGCCAACTCTGCAGTTCAAGTCTCCTAGTATAATGATTTCTCTAGTTTTTCCCACTTTTGTTATTTCGTTATTCAGATCTTCGAAAAACCTGTCTTTAACATTTACTAAAGAGTCATCGTTTATACCATATACCCCAAAGATAGTTATTCTATTTTCACGTACAGTCATATTTATCTTAATGATTCGTTCACTGATAGCTTCCCATGAATGCACATGTTTTCTAAGGTTTCTTTTTATAAGTACAGATACTCTTGTTGTGCTCTTCGGTCTTTAGATACTCCACTGTAGAAATGGTCATATTGGTCCATGCTTTCCGATCCTTGTCCTTTTTTTTTATTCTCTTAGTCTCTGTGATTACCGCGACGTCTAGTTTTAGATTTTTAATCATTACTTCATTTATTTTCCTAGTGAGGCCCTGTACATTCCATGTTCCATAACTCATTGTCCTTTTCCGTTGCTTAAGTCTGCTTTGATTTTTCCGTCCAGTTCCGAGGCTTTGGTTAGGTTTTTTAGCATTTGCATCTTTTACGCGTTATAGGGAGCTAGCCTATAGCCCCAACCCTCCTCCTTTATCCAGGCTTGGGACCAGCAATGGCCCCCTTAGAGCTACTCAATTCACTCCTTAGAGACCACAGGCGGAGTTTTGAAAGTTGATCTAATAAATTTATAAAAAAAGTCACACAAGCGGATTTTATCTGTAATTGTATTTAAGCAAAATAAATATCAACCTTAACGAAACTATCACCTATTATACACGAAGCACTGTCTTTCTTCAGCACGTTGGTATAACTGTAAAATAATCGTTCAAAACCATCTGTCAAGTATAATATATACGCATAATCTTTAGTCTCGTCTTGATATATAATGATTTTATTATTCAATGTTCAGGTTAAACTATAAAAAAAGAATTAGTGAGGCATGTGTGTCATTTATTTTCTGTGTAAAATATAAGAGTTTGTTAAGGAATTTAATAATAATATAGTAGATTTTGAAACCGATTAACGAAACCTGTTCTAAGTCCTGTTCAGACTCTCAGTTTTATATGTTTTCTAACTCAAATCTTTTAGTTTGTATAGTAGATCCATTGATATGCATACTATAAAGAGGAACCAAAATATTTCAAAATATTTTGTTTATAAAATGTTCTATTTTAAAGAGTTAATAATACTGAAAAGGTTGAAGAAATCTAAGTAGTAAAACAAATCACAACAACATGGCTTTTTTGCTAATGCAGAACCTATTACACATCAGTTTTTTTTAACAGGTTGATCATCTGAAGATCATTATAATGGAGGATACGGATTATATCGTGTCGATGACTTCATTAGTTGTGATTGATGATTATTTATTGTTCGCCACATTCTTAAGATAGCAACACGAGTTATCGAGCTTCTTGGTACAGTGTACAAAAATTCGCCAAAAAGCTTGAAAAGAAAATTAGTAAATCAAAGTTTTGGAGAATTAATATATTCAATCAGTATCAAATAGAACATGCTATTTTTCAATCTTCTGAAATAGTTTTTTAAACAATTACAAACGTCGCAAATAATATAAGAAAGAATAAATATCTTGTAAGTAATTATATATATACCCCGGATTGTCTTTAAAAAAAAAAAAACTTTTATTATTCACATTTTGAGAAATGCATTCTTCATAAAAAAATTATTTATTAAAAAAAAAAAAAAAAAAAAAAAAAACAATTAAAAAATATGACGTTAATCAAAAATTAATAATAACCATCTGTCAAAGAATGAAATCAAAATTATATTACCTACCATAGAAACTCGTTTTAATTTTTAGCAAAAAAAAAAAAAATTCAACTATATTTTCATGCCTTTTTTTTTAATTTTCTAAAACGGTATGGAAATTTGGAAAGTATAAACGGATTAACTGTTTTAAAAAAGAAGCCAAACATTTTTCTCAACATGTCAATAAAAAAATAAAAAAGTTTTTCTTCTTCTAAAGGAAACTGGGATAGTCAGAGGGATAACGAATCATCTGGAATTATGGCAGCATATTCGTGGTAAACAGAAAAAGTTCAGCAAATGGTAACAACGTTTATGGATAGGTGTAGAAGTTTCATTCTATTTCATTTTTCCAAATACTTCTGAGTAACCTCAATATTTGTATGAAAATTGGTGTTTCAGATCGAGCTTGATGAGAAATTTTATTGATGTCAATACTCCTATTTGTAGGGAGTGCCATCTACATGTGTTTTAACCTTTTGGAGCAATGACCAGCTCATCTGCATAAAACTACTATAAACATACATTTGACTACTTCCATTATAAATGTTCCGAGAAATCCATACTGTAGCGATTTTCACCAAGAGACCTTTTACGTAAAACCCTGTTAAATGTATATTTTTACTTAGTAGTTTTATACAGGTACGAACGAAAAGTTATTACTCTTCAAACCAGTTAAAAACATGTAGGTGGTGCTCCTCCACAAGTAGTAGTTATATTGACATCAAAATCAAATTGCATGTCAAAAAATTTCAGACACCAATTTTCATCCAAATATTGACGTTACTATCAATTATTTGGAAAAAATTGAAATAAAAATGAAACTTCTACACCCTGTATCTCCGAAACTGTTACTTTAGACATGCATTTATACGAATTTTCCTTATTTTTATCTACAGAATATGCTGCCGAAGTTTCCAGAATACAATTCAGACCAATCTGTATATCCATATATAGGCTGTAGGTATGATTAATACAACACATTTGCATTGATATATCAAAAACGTATAATACGATTTGTAGAAACTCCACGCCCGTATCTCACGCTCGCTGACCAACTCCATCAGTGTAATTTCCGACCTACAGAAAATGCCTTTTACTTTAGTTCAACCGGTGATTAACAGAATATTATAAGTTCACGCTCAGCTGCTCATCTAAATAGGACTCTCACCTAACTGTACTAATTCGATAGCATACGACCTAGATTAAATTAAAGTTTTTCTTTTAATGGCTTGACGCCGCCAATACGAGGGTTAATCGAGAAATAATTACCATTAAGAAAGTTTCTGTTTTTTCATTTGATTCCGTAGATTTCTGGTTATTGGCGTTTCTGCTTCCTGGGAACCAACTAAAGGCGGAAGTCAAGAACTTGGAGGGCTCCATCCGTAACCTGAAATGGGAATCCTTCAACGATCTAAGATTAATTGAAAAAGTACCCCAGGACTTACTGAGAAAAATCCTCCAAAGATTTTCCTTGATTTAATTGAGAACAATCTTCGGATTAAAATTGTCATTATGACCTCCTTTATATTCAATTCCCAGAGACTTGGGACCTTGAGAAAAGGATGGTAAGGGTGATCAGTAATTTGTATTGGAACCAAAATGCTAAAATTCGTATACATAATGTGGGAGTTACAAAAGATTTTGAAATAAAAAGGGGGTAAGGCAGTGGTGTATTCTGTCTCCAATGTTGTTTAACTTGTATGTGGAAAGAGCATTTGGTTTGAAAATAAATGGTATTACAGTTAATAATATCCGATATGCGGATGACATAGTGATATTTGCAGACAATGCAAATGATCTCCAAATCATTCTAAATAAGGTTAACAATGAGCCAAAAATTGGTTTAAACATTACAGAAAAATCTAAATTTATGGCTGTTAGCAGAAACAATATTCCGAACACTAGAATTTACTTAAATGGTCATCAAGCAGGTCACACAATTCAAACACTTGCATTGCTTAACCAAACGTGGGGTCCAGATCAAGAGATCAAATGCAGGATCAAACAAGCAAGAACAACTTTTCTAAAACTTCGAAGGTTTTGTCTATGTCTGAAGTTCTATGTCTCGTCCGTTTTGTTATATGGTGTGGAAGCATGGACGCTGAAGGTAGCAACGATAAACAGAATTAAACCCTTCGAATGTGGAACCTACGAATGCTAAGAGTGTCCTGGATCGACCGTGTGTTTTCGAAATCATCAAAAAGAGCAAAATAGCCTATTTGGGACACATTGCATGGAGAACGCTATCACTTTCAGCGTCTAATTATCCCAAAAAGGCAATAGGCCGAAAGAAGCTATCTGTCATTGAACAGGCATTCAGGACTTTCCAAGCACTCCAAGTCGCTGTAATTAATAGAACCATCTGACGAGGAAGAAAAAGATGAACGCCTACGCAGAAATCTGCACGGCACCTTAAAGAACAAGA